AGGAGGGCAGGGGCAACTGTCCCTCCCCGCCCTCCCCCCCTTTGCTGTGCCTATGAAGTGGGGAGGAGAGAGGGAGAAAGGGCTGTGCAAAGCGGGAACTGCAGCAGCCACACCCAGGAGGCTGGTTACTGCCAGGTTTCTCCTTCCTCCTTCAGCAGCCGACAGTCGGCCCTTCAGCCAACAGCCCACCAGGAAATTCCCGGTATCTTGCCGGGCCAGTCTGCCCCTGTTTGTGCCCCATGGATCCACGAAGCATCCAGCTGCCTGACTCACTGCTCAGCCTCCCTTTCCCCTCCAGCAGTCCTGCCCTGGTGATAGTACACACAAGGGATGTTAAATATCATTTAGTCAACTATTCTACAGCCCCCAGGGATGGGGCCAGCAGCCAGCTCCAGAGGAGCCCCCTGCCACTCCATGCTGCTGCCTCTGTATCAGAGGCAGCAGCGTGAGGTGCCAGGCAGGAGCTGGACCAGGAGGGGAGCCAGTTTAAAAACCAGAGGCTTTAAACAGAGGCAGCAGCGTGGGGTGTCAGTAAACCTTGTCTAGGGAGGGGCTGAGCTCCTAGATCCAGGGTGACCCAGAACTGAGCCGGGCTGCCTGCCCACCTGGCTCCTAATACACTTTAAATGCAGAGCTTCAGCAGGGGTAGGTCCAAGACCCAGCACGAGCCAGGACTGAGTCGGGCTGCTGGCCAGCCGGCTAAAACATTTACTGGGTGGGGGGAGAGGAACATGTGTCATCTGCAATATTAACAGATTAGCTTTTGCTTATCAGTTAATCGACTATACTGGTACCTCCCTAGTGCACACTGCCCCGGAGTCTCTCCCCGCCCCTCGACTGTCTCTCTGCTTCCCGGCTCTGGCTTGGCCGGCTGCTTCTACCAGTCCTGCGGGGCCCCTCCTCCTGACCACAGCTCTCCTGGACTTCCACCGTGGATCCACTACCCTGCGGTCTGGGGCAGGGGGGATTTCTTCTTGGCTGCTGCTTCCAGTGTGGTCCCAGGGTGGGGGATTGCCTGGCTCTGGTTGAGGACTGGGGGTTGGGCCTGTCCCAGCTAGAGGGTGCCTGCTCCACTCTGGTCCCCCAGATGGGCACTGGCTGGCTTAGGTTGTGGGAAACTGGACACGAGGCCTGTCTCCTGCAGTGCGTGCCAGCCCGACCCAGCCTTGGGCTATTTCAGAGGGATCTCTGCAGCTCGGGGTGGGGAAAGGGGCTTACGTGGGATGGATCTGGCCCTGCAAGCGGGAGGATTTAGCGTGATCTGCAGTGTGACCATTTAGGGCCTGGGGGTGGGGAAAATGCACAAAGTTTCCTCCGCCCTCCACCCCTGCCCTGAAAGAGGGGTGCAGTGATTAGAAACACCATTCACTCCTGGCAGGGCGGGAGAAGAAGTCACGCACTCCCCTGCCCCCACGCCCTGATTGGCCTGGGGTCAGAAGGGGAGTGTGTAAAGTCTGGGATGGAACGAGGCTGCCTAGGAGGTACCTGGGTAGGGGGAAAACTTCACCCACTCCCCCACCCCCACACCCCC